AAAAAAAAAAAAAAAAAAAAAAAAGAAGAAGAAGAAGAAGAAGCAAGCCAGGGACAAAATGCATTCAGTGACAAGTCAGAGACGGCTAAGGGCTCTGGTTCTCTTAGCTACTGAACACAAAGGAATATGTTTAAGAAAAAAAGTGAATGCTTCCAAAGTCTTGCTACAAATGACTTATATTTAGAAACAATTCCACATAAACAAAGTCTTCAACTTGTTTTTCATGAATGCCACAGAGCAGGATCACTGATTTAAATGCAAATGAACTAGTAAGAAGACGTGTCTGTCTCACAATCACACTCAGGGTTACCTTCTGGTTAACATTTTTATTGTAGTATTTCCTTTTAAAATTTGACCAAGACATAACAAAACCAAACCAAAACAACATCAACAACAACAAAAAAAACCAAACCAAACCAAAACAAAGACAATGGCCCCGGAAAAAATGCACAATTTGTTTTAGTTTACAGCACAGAGATCCTTCTCTTAATGGGAGTTGTGCTCTTGGTTTCAGCAATAAGTGAAGGAAAAAAGATCTTGCCCTTTTGAAGTTCTGAGGGGAGGTGTGGGTGTCCACGTTAGTATGGTTGGATAGGATATGCTATCGCTGTAACGCTTCAAGGTTGGAATGGTCTTCCAGTCGACATGGCATCCATCCATCTGCTGCTGTGAACAGAGCCTGGAGTCAGTGCACAAGAAAAGAATCTGAGCTCTTCCCACCGCTCTCTGCATTACAGATAAGGGCCATCACTTCAGATCAAGGTATCTTTGTAAATCTACAACCCATGTAGGAAAATATCACGTCCTGAGAATGGGGCTGCTCCATTACCTACTGGCCTTAATTCCAGATCTTGAGGAAGCTGTCCCAGGACCCTGTTGCCACAGCCATGCCATCATCAGTCACCCCCAAGCAGCTGACTCGGTTGTCGTGTCCAGCTAAGACACCTGTGAACAAGAAGAGCATAACCACGAACACACGTGAGGCTGTGACAAGAGCAGATGGCTCATCTTGATGGACAACACTCCAAGACTTTAGTACAGCAAGTGCCTAAGAGGGCAAGGGAAGGTCACTAGGAAGGGAGAGGTTTTTGTCCAAGTGAAAGTTATCCTTAGGGTACAGTTAATTCTGTTAAGGGAGCAACCAATCCTAACACGTTCTTCTCTGACGAGAACATGGACATAGGCTCAAGAGGACAAGGTGACATGCACAAGTACGCACATGTACACAAATTCTTGTACACTAACAAAAGCAGCTTAAAAATCAAAGAAAACTGGGTAGTGGTGGCACATGCCTTTAATCCCAGCACTCGGGAAGGAGAGGCAGACAGATCTGTGTAATCCAAACCAAGGTTACAGAGAAACCTTGTCTCGAAAACCCAAATGAACAAACAAATAAATAACAAGTAAACATCAATCTATGTCTCAGGATCTGAGCTTGATTTCCAGCACCTGTATGGTATCTCACAACTATCTCTAACTCCAGGTCCAGGGGACTCCGGACTCCAACACTCTCTTCCAGCCTCTGCAGGTACATAGACATACATTCAGGCAAAACACTCATACTCATAAAATAAATAAATCCACACCATCTGCGAGACAGGATTTCTCTGTGTAGCTCTGACTGTCCTGGAACTCACTCTGTAAACCAGGCTGGCCTTAAACTCAAGAGATCTGCCTTGGCCGGGCGGTGGTGGTGCACGCCTTTAATCCCAGCACTTGGGAGGCAGAGGCAGGCGGATTTCTGAGTTGGAGGCCAGCCTGGTCTACAGAGTGAGCTCTAGGACAGCCAGGGCTACACAGAGAAACCCTGTCTCGAAAAACCAAACCAAAAAAAAAAAAAAAAAAAAAGAGCTGCCTGCTTCTGTCTCCCCAAGTGCTGGGATTTAAAGTATACTACACCACTGTCCAGCAAGAATAAATAAATCTTTAAAAGACAAAAACAAAACAAAAAACCTGACCAGCTAACCTCCAAGCAACTGACCACAGGAATACACAGAGCCTACAGTTGAGATCATGGAGCTATCGTCACATGGCACACCACCTGCCATGACACCCACCCATTCTCTCACAGAAGGGTTTGAAACTTAAGAAACAACTTCTAGTTCCTGTACTGATGTACCAACTAAGCACAAGGGCTAAAAGGTTCTCTGCAGTTCAGTGTCAACTTCCTAGGCTACAATGTCAAAGAAGAAATGTTTATTTTTATTTTCGATACAGGGTCTATGTAGCCCTGGTTATCCTAGAGCTCACAGAGATCTGCATGCTTCTGCTTCTGAGATCTGGGATTAAATGAGTCACCAAAAATGTCTTCAATTCAGCAGTCTGGCAGGGTATCAGAAGCCAGAGTGGGACCCACAAGACTCATAGTCATAATCCCCTCTTCCATCCTCCAAAGCAGATTTGTTGAATGTAATAACGCTCTTCAACTTGAAACTTAAGGCTAGCTTGAGTTCAAAGAGAGACTCTTGAGACAAAAATGTTCTAATCTTTTGTCCAGCTTGTATTTAATTAACCCAGTTGATTCTGATATATTAAATATCAAAGCTGTATAGACAGGCCGAGAAATCTTAAGATGTAGCTGGTCATGATAGAATGTCAGGAGGCAAATGACTACAGAGGATGAGTCAGGAAGATTGAAAATTGATGGTACTCACCAGTAATTCTAGTATTTAGAAGGCTGAATCAGAAGACTGTTTTAAATTCAAGGACATCTGGTCTATAGAGTGTTCCAGGCTAACCACGGATACCCACAGGAAAAGGGGAACCTTGAGCACTGAGCTCAGTGGTATCTGGCATACTGTCCTCTCCCACACTGCCCTCACAGGAGAGCTTGGGTACTTCCTGGAGGACTAGAGCTCATATTCTGTGGCCTTTCACAGAATATGTGACAGGTCACCTCTGCTGAGCTAAGACATTACTAAGCTGATGGCACAAAATGTACACATTTCAGCTCATCTGAGCCTCATTTTACCACATAGAAGCAAGCTGATGTCCAAGAACACAGAAAGGCCTTATGGCCACTGACCTGCTCTGTCAGCTTTGAGTGCATCCCAGACATTACAGTTGAAGTCATCATACCCAGCGAGGAGGAGGCGGCCACTCTTGGAGAAGGAAACAGATGTGATACCACAGATAATGTTGTCATGGGAGTAGGTCATGAGCTCCTGGTCTGCACGGAGGTCAAACAGCCTGCATGTAGCATCATCTGAGCCAGTGGCAAAGGCATTGCCATTGGGAAAGAACTAGAAAGAAAAGACAAATCAAGACATATGTAAGTACTGAGGCCCCTGGACACAGTCCAGCTGATTCTGCACTCGCCTGGCATGTGTAAGGCCCATGGTTCAGGCATAAGCACAGGAGGAGTAAGAAAGTGTAGTGATCTGTCTATAATCAAGCATGGAATGGGGTATACAGTCATCAGGAATACAGTGAATTCAAAGTCAAGCTGAACTATATATCAAGGTCTAGGCCACATACTGACAAAACAGTAAATGCTCAGTAAGACACGATGGTAATGCAGTGGCATGGCTGCCATGGAAAGGAAAACAGGATGAGGTTCCAGCACAAAGAAGGGGTGGCATCCTGGAGTGAATGGGTCATGTACTAGGGGGATACTGACAGCAGTACCCATGGACTGCCACTGTCAGCAAGGCAGACTTCAGCACAGAAAAGCAACGAGACTGAGGCACTGCTGAAGGGCCTTTATTCCCTGGACACTAGCTGTCAGGAGGGACTTGTGGAGGACGGAACAAATCCCTGCTCTAGCCACCAGACTCATCCCTTCAGGAGGTGCTACATCATGAAAGCAGGTTCTAAATTTGCTATTCCCTTGGCTGGCAGGATATTCAGTCTGTAAATTACTGGTCACTTTAAGGAAAGGAACAGTTGAGCTGGCATACATCAATGTAGCCTCATCAATGTATGAAATATATGCACCGCACAGGGTTCAGGTGCTTCTAAAAGATTCTGTGACTCTGGTTGTATTTGCAACGAAAAGGACCAACTAGGTTTGGTAGCAAAGGTCCGACTGTAATTTTAGTGCTGGGAAAGATTTGCAGTTCCAGGTAAGCCTGGGCTACACTACTAGACCTTTTCTCAGAATGAACACAAAGAAAAAAAGAACACAAAACAATTTAAAAACAATCTTTGAAATGTTCTTTTTTTAAAGGTACTAGAGCTAAACACCAGAAGTTAAGAGCATTTACTCACTCTAGATCAGATGGCTCCTAATGGCCTACTTAACTCTAAGCTTCAGGGCATCAAACACCCTTGTCTGGACTCTGTGAGCACCTGAACTGACACACACCACAACATACCCACATATAGACATACAGACAGGCAGACACAAACATAAATGAGAATGGTCCCCATAGGCTCTTATGTTTGAACACTTGATTCCTAGTTCATGAAGCTGTTTGGAAGGTATTAAGAAGTATGGCATGTAGGATGTGTGATGTTTCAAAGGACATGCCATTCCAAGTTTGCACTCTCTGCCCTCTGATTATTTATATCACAGGATGAAGCTCTCAGCTACTTCTCTAGCACCATGCTTGCCTGCTTGCAGCCAGGCTCCTCACAACGATGCCCATGGATTCACCCTCTGAAACTGTAAGCCTCAATTAAATGCTTTCTCTTTAAGTTGCCTTGATCATGGTGTTTTAGTTACAGCAACAGAAAAGCAACTAATATGCTATTTCTCCAGCCCCTAAAAAAACAAATCTTTAACAACAACAACAACAACAACAACAACAACAAAAGGTTAAGATCTAAAGTAGACACAATTTAAACTCACACATATGGCATTGATGTCAGACTCGTGTCCTGTAAAGGTCTGCCGGCACATCCCTTCTCGGACATCCCAGAGCTTGGCTGAAGCATCACAAGCACCAGAGACAAAGAGTCTGGTGTCAGGAGCAAGAGACAGGCTCATGACATCTCCAGTGTGTCCAGTAAACGTGGTTGTCTGCTGGCCGGTCTCGATGTCCCACAGGGCACTGGAGCAGGAATAAGTGACAAGTAGGTATCAGAGTCACACATGGGACCAATCACCTAATACAACATCCTCTATACAACATCCTCTATACCCAGGATCACAGATGACCTCTGTGCCACTGTGAAGACACATTTACTTCTGTAATGAGATTTTGTTTAGGAAAAGCAAATTAAGAAAATAAACAACTATATGGATGAACATATGGGCCTGCTGTTTCCAAGTTAACTCACACTACAGCAAAGGAGCCACTGTCCTTTCAAAGCAGAATATGTGAGATCATATCACACAAGATAATCATAGGCAGTTTGTGGGACAGCAGAGTGCTAAGGCCTGAAAGAAAGGAGCCTTTTTCACCTGTGTAATTCCCTCCATGCCTTTGTTTCCCACCTTCCTAGATACCAGAGAGGGAATGTTAGGTAAATAACTGGCTCAGAGCAACCCTGATGCTCCAGCTCCTCTTCCATGAGGACCATAAACCAAAGACGATCTTCATGGATGTACAGGGTCTCCCAAGGGCCTCTGCTTGACAGTGGCTAAAAGCCACAGTACCAACAGCACTACATAAAGCAGGAGCTAGCTATGAAAATGACAGCCACAGGCTACTTCCTGTTACAACCTGCAGAAGCAACAGCATGGTAAACTGCCTATTCTTGTCAAGCCTGTCACCAGCCAGCCTGTCAGACTCAGCCAACACCAATCCAACCAACCAAGTTCACCACAATGAATGCTGGCTATCTTTGCTAGGCATGAGGAAGGAAGAAAGCATGGAGCACAAAAGTTTCACACACTCCATCTAAGAAAATAATCAGTACATGAAATTTGTAATGATTAATCTTCACTGTTCATCCGACTACATTTAAAATCAACTAAAGTCCAAGCAGTCAGGCACATCTGTGAAGGGCTGTTTCGGATCATTTCAAGTGGGAAGACCTACCCTCAATCTGGGCCACACCTTCTGGTGGAAGCTCATGTAAAAGGAAGCTTTTGCTTTTTCCTTGCTTGCTTTCACTCTCATTGGCAAGCTCATCTATCTTACTGTAAAGACCTTCCTTTACTGCTTTAAAACCAACTCCATGTTTCCATTGTAGACACAAGACCAGCTAAGATACACAGTTTTATGAACTATACAATTACTAAATTTACCATTTCCATCAGAAGTCCATTGTTGGATAAATTTACTGTATAAATCTGGTTTAAAATACTCTGGTCTGTATAAATTAACTTTAAAATACTGCTACTGACCTCCCAGGAATGCCTCCAATGACCAGAAGAACCCACAAGGGCAGCTTAAGTCTAAAATTATTCTCTTAAAATAACTACCTGGTCATTTCATTATTAAACAAAAGGGAAATTTTACTTGAATGTAGCTCCATCTACTAGTAGACAAACATTCTAAAATAAACAAACCTGATAGAGCTGCTGTTTGAAAGCTATATTCATTCTCACAATATGCTGAATTGACTTCACAGTGAAAGAAAACCCACAGGGCTAAAACCACCACATACATAAGTAAAAATAAAGAAAAACAGGTACCTGATATACAACTATAGCCTAACTATTTACATTTTTAGTTCTCTGTTCATAATCAGAGTTTACATATCTACAGATGGTGCAATGAGTTACTCATTGATACTTTCTGTTTTGTAATCACCAGGCTATGATCAAATTTGAAACTATCTTAACTACTGACAATAAGTATTTATCTTGCAATGAATGGAAAGTAAACCTACTAACCAGTGTTAACAAGAACAGTAGATAGATCTCAAGCCCACTCTCTGCCTTGTCAGGTACTTACCATGTGGTGTCTCCAGAACTGGTAACTATCTGATTGTCATCCAGGAACCGGCAACAGGACAGATAACCTGGAAAAGATCAGATCCAAATGATGAACCAAGTCTACAAAGTCTCAATCCTAGGATCTTCTCACTGTGAAAACTATGGTAATAAGAATACCCAGAAATTCTGTCACAGGATGGGTCAAACTATATAGCTAGGTAGACTCAATGGGATAATGCTTCAGACAGACTCACACCTGCACAGCACACAGCAGTGAACTATGCCTAGAGAACACCTTACTCTTCCACCTGCCTCTCTGTCTTAAGGTAAGGTTTCCCTTTCCTTTTGGCCTCATTTACTTACTGAATGGGGCAGCTGGACACAAAGGAGCTCAGAACCATTGAGAAGAGAGACAGTAATGGAACCAAGAGAGAAAAGATTACAAGCCAACTAGAGGAACAGGAAAAGATGACAGAACAGCAAGCACACTGAAAATGTCCAGTGGGAAGGCTCCAAAAATACGGGTGAATGGTGAATGGGCTTGCTTTCTCAAGGGCTGCAATATGGAGTATGCACGGAAAAGCTATGTTCTAGCTGACACCCACTGGAAAGATTTCTTAGAAGCTGTGGGTGAAACAGGACAGTGAGAATGTCTCAAAATATAATAAAAATTGTGAGAGAGAAGAAAACAAGTGACTGAAAAGTGAAACAGGCTGATATCTGAAAGTCACCTAGTTTTGCTAGAGAGGAGGAGTAAAATCACAAGCAAAGGGACAAATAATAAATGGGTCCATAAGATTACACAACACAAGGCAGGACACTGAGAACTTCCCAAATATGCATGGCTTTGGTACACAGGTACTTGCCACAACTGCCTGAGTGGTTAGCCCTGAAAATGGCGCTTCAGTCTGTGACTGTGACAAGCCAGTGGGAGTGGGACACCAAGAATATAGTAACAGAAACAAGGAATTAATTGACCAATTCTGCATTTCAGAGCATAGTTTGTAGGCAGAGAGAATCCTTCTATATTCAATGTCACCAGTACTCCTCAGAGGGAAGGGAGAAAAAGAACCAACAACCAAACCAAACAAAGCTAAAACAAAATAAAAACAACCCACTGTGTTCATAAATATGTAAAATATCTAATTATTCATTAAATGAAAAAAATTATACACAGGAAATGTTCCAGCTACTCACACTACCAGGTCACAATACTGAATGGCAATGTCACGCACGCTACATCAGAAGGGTAAATCATGGCCCTCTGGACCAGAACCACCCAGCAAAGTCTCAAAACGGCAGCTCCGAGTCCAGCCTTCCACTCTTTTTTTCATCAATCCCTAGGGACTAGCACTGAGATCAATCTGTGTCTAAGTTCCAGTCTGCTTGAATAGTATCTAGGTAATAGACACATTTTCATATATATCTGCATGCATCTATGTGCATGCTTATTTGTTTGTTTTTTTATGACAGTGTTTCTCTTTATAAGCCTGGCTGTTCTGGAACTCAGTGTGTACAAGAAGCTGGCCCATGCTTCTGACTCCTGAATGCTAAACTAAATAAAGGAGTATGCCACCACACCAGGCTAATTATTTTATATATATAACATAAATCATAAATATTAATACAAATAGTAATAATGAACACTCTTTCAGTTATTGTGAACCCACTGGATCCAATTCTAGGGTTTCCTTACAGGGTTCCTTATCCTGTAAGATAGCCTATAAATTCTATGAAGTTTTGAGCCTGGAGGGCATACTCTTACATAGGAAACTCTTACCTAGGAGCAATAGGACATAGAATCGACTACCAAAAGCCTGTTCCTCAATTGACTTCAATGGTCCTATCTTAACACAGCTGAATGATCGACTGGAACATCCCTGAGAAGTGCTAAAGCAGCCTCCAGGAAGTCCTAACTTACATAGCCAGGTACTTTAACAGTGAACAGCAAAAACACACAGGCAGTGAGCATAACCACAGACAGCTCAAGTGACAGGTAAGAGTTTTACTGCTGTGTGTATGTTTCCTAACCTGATTAAACTGTACAGACATTTAAAAGAAACATAAAGAAACCAAAGTTGCTGTGAGAATTATATTGCCAAGGCTGCAATTCAAACTTAAGTGCACTAAGAAATGGCAAACTAGCCAGGCAGTGGTGGCGCATGCCTTTAACCCCAGCACTTGGGAGGCAGAGGGAGGCAGATTTCTGAGTTCGAGGCCAGCCTGGTCTACAGAGTGAGTTCCAGGACAGCCAGGGCTACACAGAGGAAACCCTGTCTCGAAAAACAAAACAAAACAAAACAAAACAAAAACAAACAAAAAAACACACAGAAACTCTGAATCTGAAGAGACCATCTGATATGACCACTCTTCCACTCCTCATCAGCACAGTTTGTATCCTTGCATCTATTTTCAGGTGAGCTTTTCTCTAATGTTGGTCATTGCTAGGCTAATAGGAAGGAAAGCTGTTGTTTATTGACCACAAAGTCAACTGAATTTACTTGAACAGAAACAAAAAACGCAAGGAAGTGGAAATTGAAGTAGCTCACCGCCGAAGCCATTAGAAACTAGGACATAGCGCAAATCTTACTGATTTAGCAAAAGACAAATTTTAACGGGTTCCAAATGCTAAACACAAGAATATAAAGAAAGTCACACGTCTAGGAATATTATCATCAAACTGCTAAAACCAAAGATAACACCTTTAATATATTTTGGTTTAAACACTGAAGAAGATGGCTCAGTGGTTAAGAACAGTGGCTACTTTTCTAGAGGACTCAGGTTCAATTCATTGCACTGACATGATGGGTCATAGCTATCTTAACTCCAATTCCAGGAGAAACGCAGTTCCCTCGTTCTGGCTTCGTTGGCAACAGCCATGCATGTGGTGCACCAACGTTTGTGCAGGGAAAATACTCATAGACATTAAGGTGACATCAACTCAAAATTCTGTATGTCCAGCAAAAATATCCTTCAGGAATAAAGGTCAGAGGCCAGCAATACGGGATCAGACGTTGTCTGAGTGCATTGAGACTATACATCACTTCAAACACAATGCTGAATCCAGGCATGGTGGTGTACATTTGTAATTACAGCACTGAGGAGGCAGAGGGAAAAGAATGCTGAGGCTGGATCAAGCTATAAACAGAGTAACACAAAAGAAGGCAGAAAGAAAGAAACAGGAGGAAAAGCAAGCAGAGGGAGAGAGAACCACCCTAAGTACAGAACCAACTCCAACCACATCCAGAACAACACTTAGGATTTTTCTATTGTACATCAATAAAAAGCAGTATTTAGTGCAAATGAGCTTCAATTTTTTTTTTTTTCAAGACAGGGTTTCTCTGTGTAGCCCTGGCTGTCCTGGAACTCATTCTGTAGACCAGGCTAGCCTTAAACTCTCGAACTCAGAAATCCGCCTGCCTCTGCCTCCCAAGTGCTGGGATTAAACGCGTGCACCACCACTGCCTGGCCACTTTTTTATTTTTAAAAACAGCCTTTCATGTAGTTTAGGCGGTTTCAAATCTACTACATAGTAAATGATGACCTTCAACTTCCAGCTTCCATCTAAACGCTTGAATTATAGGACTATACCACCAGACCTGGTTTTATGCTGGGCTGAAGATTGAACCTAGTGCTTCATTCATGGTAAGTATGTACTCTATATTTCCAGCTCCTCACGGAGCTATATTACCAGCTCCTAAAGGCAGAGACTTTAGGAAAATTAAAGCAAGACTTAACTCTATGCTGTGTATAAGAGACAATTTATTACAAAAACAATCAACAAGAAAAAAATGTAACTCAGACAGGAGCATGAGGCTGAGCTGGCTGAAAACCCCAGATGAAGTAGATTCACAGTAAGTAGAGTATTATATGAGAGGGTGTACTAAGTCAGGATAAAACAACAACTATTCAGGAAGATATAGCAACAATAAATGTACATGCAGCACCTCAAATATACAAATGTAGATTCTGGTATGCCAAAATCTTTTTTTTTCAGATGGAAATACAGACAAACACAATGCCCAACAGCTAGAAAATACAGCTTGCTTCCATATTCTCATAGCATGACATCTTGGTAGACCAACAGCTCAAATTTAGAATTAGCTAAAAACTAGTAAGTTAAATATTTCTCTAGGGCTGGGCAGTGGTGGCGCACACCTTTAATCCCAGCACTTGGGAGGCAGAGGCAGTCGGATTTCTGAGTTGGGGGCCAGCCTGGTCTACAGAGTGAGTTCCAGGACAGCCAGGACTACACAGAGAAACCCTGTTTATGAATGTTCTGCCTGTGTGGTAGATTGAATGAAAATGGCCCCCACAGGCCCATAGGGAGTGGTACTATTAGGAACACCTCCTTGTTGAAGCAAGTATGGCTTTGTTGGAGGAAGTGGGTCAATGTGGGTGGATTTTAATGTTTCAGATGCTCAAGCCAGGTCCAGTGTCACTCTCTTCTGCTGTCTGTGAATCCAAATATAGAACTCAGCTACCTCTCCAGCATCTGTCTGGATGCTGCATGCCTCCTCCCATGACAATAATGAACTAAACCTCTGAGCTGTAACTAGCTGCAATTAAACGTTTTCCTTTCTAAGAGTTGCTGTGGTCATGGTGTCACATCACATCAATAAAACCTTGACCAGGATAGCCTTTATGTCTGTATACCACGTGCATGTCTGGTGCTCACAGAGGCCAGAAGAAGGTATGAGATTCCCTGGGACTAGAATTACATATAGATGGCTGTAAGTAAGGCACGTGTAGGTGCTGGGAACTGAATCCAGGCCCTCTGCAAGTGCTTTTAACCATCTCTCCAACTCTTACTTTTAATTCTCTGTGTATGTGGTGTTATGCCTATCCAGAGGCTAACAGACTCTAGTGTCTGTTAGCCTCTGGACAGGCATAACACCACATACACAGAGATTCCTACTTTATCACTGTCTGCTGTATTCCTTTGAGATTGGGCCTCTCACTAAACTAGACTGGGAGTCAGTCTACAATGATGAAGTTATAAACAGACTTATGGCCCATGCCTGGCCTTTAATATGTGAGCACTGTGATTTGAGCTGAGGTCCTTATGATTATGCAGTAAGTATCCTTAGTTACGGAACCTTCTCCTCAAACAGTTTTCTATTGTATATTTAAAGATGATATACCATGCTTCTTTTTTTGAGACAGGGTTTCATATAGCCCAGACTGCCCTCAAATTCACTGTGAACTCTTGATTCTCCTGCCTCCACTTCATGAGTGATGGGATTACAAAAATATATCATTATGTCCAGTTTAATGGTGCGGGAATAGACCTAGGACTTTGTGTGTGCTAGACAAATACTCTACCAACAAATCTACATTCCCAGCCGTCAGAACAGTAATCTAAATACTACTGATCGAAATGTACAGGAAGCCATGCCTGTATGGATTTTGCCACTTTTAAGTTCTTATATTTGAGAAAGAAGAGATCTAAAATTGGTGGCTTATGCTTCCAGCTAAAGACAGAATATTAAGAAGTAAGCATTCCTGAAGTAAGTAGTAATGAACATTGGCAACGTGGCATAAGAAACACAAAGGACGCACTCCCACCTGACCCTAAGGGTTAAAACACAAAACTGCCATGTTCTCCATGACAATTATGAACAACCTTTTGCTTGCACGTGATGATAATTCTGAGTGTTTTATCAGTAACTTATTGAGGGACAGGATTTTTTGAGAACAAAAGATAATAGCCATAGATAGAAAATACTATGATGGGACTTTCCTCTTTGGAAATGCAATGTGTCCTAAATGATATACGAATTCCCAACAAAACAATATGCACCCAGCATTTGAATACATTCAAAAGATGTGAATGGACCATAGACTCTCTTTTGCCTCCTCTAAAAGAGCACACTGGTCAGTGAGCACAAACAGATATGGTTGTGCTATGAACACATGCTTAGACTAGGAGAATTCCTGTGTTAAGGTTTGAGGATAGAAGGCAATTTAAAAACAGGACTGAAACAGCAATGTATTGATAAACAAGAATGGTGGCTGTTAACTGCTAAAGAGAATAAATTAGCTGGGAATTAAAAAACTGGCCCAAAAAGCCGGGCGGTGGTGGTGCACGCCTTTAATCCCAGCACTTGGGAAGCAGAGGCAGGCGGATTTCTGAGTTCGAGGCCAGCCTGGTCTGCAGAGTGAGTTCCAGGACAGCCAGGGCTACACAGAAAAACCCTGTCTCGAAAAACCAAAAAAAAAAAAAAAAAAAAAAAAAAAAAAAAAAACTGGCCCAAAAAAAGCAGTTTACAGGTCTCTGAAAGGTGAAGGCATATTAGTCCTGGTTTGACTTCACTTTCAGAAAATTTCTGGCCATTACCTTAACTTTACTTGAACCAATAATCAACAAATCAAAAGAGCAGTATACACCCCAGTAAGCAGCTTACACTATTGGAGTGTGAGATGAGATGTGTACCTGTGTGTCCTGCCAGTTCACGGCTCACGCGCACATTCCCTTCACGAGTTTTCAGATTGTAAATGGAGCAGATGTTATCCAGGCCACCACAGGCCACATAATTCCCAGAAGGAGCATATGCACAGGTCATGACCCAAGAGGAGCGCAGAGGGATGGCATGAACCTAAATAACAAGAACAGACAGGCAACACTATTAAGTTCAAGAAAATATGACTACAGCCAGGTGTGTGGTACATGTTGTAGTCCCAGGACTCAGGAGAGAAAGGGAGGTAGAACTCTGAATTTGAGGCCAGCCAGAGCTACATAGTAAGACTGTCTCAAAAGAACAAAAAATTAATTAACTAGTAAACAGGTGTGATGGCACACGTCACTGAGTCTAACAATTGGAAAGCTAAGAGCGAAAGAACAAGAGGGTTTTTTGTTTTGTCTATCTTTTTTGGTTCTGAGACTTGAACTCAAGAGTCTTGTCCACTAGGCTGCATATCGCCAGCACAGATGACAAGCTTGAGGACATTTTGAGCTATAATGAGAAACTATCTCAAAGAAAACAAATTATATTTATATTTTAATGATTTAAAGAGTTATGTTAATATGACTTACAAGATTTATTTTTCCTTTAATTTAGCATGGCTATGAGATTTAAAAAAAAAAAAAGAAGAAGAAGAAGAAGAAGAAAAAACCAAAAACACACAAAAAATTCCAGGCATGGTGATTCATGCTAATCTCAGCAATAAAGAAACTGAGGCAGAAAAGTAACTGTAATAAAAGTCAGCCTAGGAGACAGCAACTGAATCATATTCATTTTCTTTCTGACACACATATGCAATAACTGTACATTGTAACATAATCTTGCTGTTTAGACAGAGTAGTTAAAACTTCTGTAATCTTTTACATGTATCTATTATTTTGAGGGAAAATACAACTGTCTTAATTTTTTTTTACCTTACCTGATGACAGCATTAAAATTTGTTTTGAGGTTTTATTTAACTTTTTATGTTATCTGTAGGAACATTTGATTAAATATTAGCACATGAGTACACCCTTGAACTGGACATACAGATGATTGTGAACCACCATGTAGGTGCTGGGAATAAAACTGAGACCTTCTGCAAAAATCAGGCAGTGACTCAACAATCTCTCCAGCCCTGCACCTTTTTGTTTGTTTCTATAGACAGGGTTTCTTTCTTGGTGTCACAGCTCTGGCTGTCCTGGAACTCACTTTATAGAACAGGCTGGCCCTAACTCACAGAAATCAACCTGCCTCTGCCTCCCAACTTCTGAGATTAAAGGCGTGTGTCACCACACCTGGCTCCCCATATTTTTTTAAGTGTTATGTGTGTGTTTGTGCACACACATATGTCAGAGAAGGTGCACACGGAGGCCTGAGGTTAACACTGGGAACCTTCCTTAACCACTCCCCACCTTACTTTTTGAGACAGTCTCTCAATTCTATTAAGAGCTCATCTATATGACTAGTCTAGCTAGCCAGATTGCTTTGAGAATTCCTTGTCTCTGTTTTCCAAATGCTAGAATTATGGACTGCCCACCACACCCACTCAGAATTTAAGTGGATTCTATTTTTCTGTTGATACTATTTTTTTGAGGCAAGCTCACATGTAGTTCAGGCTGGTGTCAACTTTATTATGTGTATAAGAATGATCTTTAATGCTTGAGGCTCCTGCTTTCATTTCTCAGATGATAGATTATGAGCATGTACCACCATACCCGGTGTAATTTATTTCACTATAAGAGAAGTAAAAATATCATTCCGAGATTTGTACCTATCAGGCAAACATTCTACCTAGTACCTCTGTCTTCTCTTTTTTCCTCCCATCCCATATCTTGTTATGGTAGGTTTGACCTTCTGGGCTTATTCGAGCCTCCTGCCTTTGCCTCCTGAGTGACTAGAATCATACTTTTACCAATATGCTGGGTTACACTGTTTTTTATCTTTTGTGGTTTTGGGAATCAAATCCAGGGAATTATATCCAGCATCCAGCATAACAGTACTCTCTCACTGAGCTACATTCCCAATCCTCGACTATACTTTAAAGTATAGTGCATTTTAGATTATCTCTTGCTAAAACAAAAAAAACTACTAACTAAACGGAATCTACATTTCAGTATTCTAGAAATAAATTAGGAAAGTTCCCAGCCAAAACTAAGACTGGAGTGTAGCTCTTGCACAAGGACAAGGAAGCACTCAGCTCCTATCTATAAGCCAAGACAAGAACCACAGCACAATTGTGTCCCAAGCTCAAGGGGCCAGCAACATGAGCTCTTTCATCACCCTCAGAAGTCATCCTTACTCCATGAACAGACTGTTACTGTTCCAAGGAAGAACCTTGATTGCCCACCTTGTTTGTGGTATAGCTGTCCCAGATGATGAGTTTCCCATCCTGAGAGGCGCTGACAAGGAGCCTGGAGAAAAGATAAAAAAAGCACACGAAAAAATCTTGGTGAGGTCCAACTAGAGTAGAGCTTTAAAGCTACATTTGCTTAAAATGAAATACACTTAATAATAAGAAAAAGAGGATCTCAATGCTAGATCAATGGAACACCACAATTAGTGTCAGATAACAGTTTAGCCCTGGGGACACCTGGATGACCAGACTACCCAGCCCTTCCCGTATCACTTGAGAGAAGGTACTGACCTGACCTGCTTCTGACAGGCTTCTTTTTATTCCAAGTTAAATTAGATACACAGAGCCATGAGAAGCATCAAATATTTAGGACACAGTTTTGTTCAATCCGACACCAAGAAAGCGTGAATATTATGGGAAAAGCTTGAAACACTCCCCACTCGGGAACCATTTTAATCCATTTTAAACACCCTGCCCTGTTTTTATTTATATGGGTGGGGGTGGCACACAGAAGCTAGAGTCATCTAAGGAAGACGGAACCTCAGCTGAGAAAATACCTCCATCCTATTGGCATAAAGCTAAGCCTATGGGGTATTTCCTTGGTTAACAATTGATATGAGCAGGGCCAGCTTACTGTGGGCAGTGTCATCTTTGGACAGGTAGTCCTGGACAGCATCAGAAAGCAGGCTAAGTAAGCCCTAAAGAGAAAGCTAGTAAGCAGTATTCCTCTGCGGTCTTTGCTGATTTCCTTTCATGACAGATTACAATTATAAGTGAAAATAAAATATTCAAGTTGCTCTTGCTCAGAGTTTAATGACACCAGTAGAAATCAAACTGGAACATATCCATGAGCTTGAATGGTAGTGTATGTTGTAACCCATGAATGGGGTAAGTGGAGAAACCAATACTTGGTGTGGGGGGCGGGGGGGAAGAGGAGTGTTAAGAGTTCAAGGCCAGACTTGACTATTTAACAAGTTTGAGGCCCAAACTCTATCCATCAAAAATCAGTAGAAAACAAACACACACTAACAAACTTCCCAGATGAAGATAAATTAGAATACCTGTCTTGATAAAACTAAGGAGTCTCCATCTATATGGTAGTGAGATGACAAATGACATCAGAATTGCACATGGTTGGGCAAAAGAGGTCACCAACTATAGTGAATTATGAATTGTTCATGACTGTCCTAGTTCAGGCAGCTGTGCTAAGTCTGGAATCTGTAGTTCTCTGTATTTGTAGAACCAAGGCAGGATATACTGTAAAAGGCAATCATGACTAACAGGCAAAGGAATCTAAGTTATCTGGGAAGTAACTGAGTGATTCTGAGAAACACAGCTACTCAGACACAGGGTCCTACACAATGTGCTCTTGTTTAAGGAACAAGGGTGAGAGGCTCTTCCAGGTCCACCATGAGATAGTGACATACAGGTTTTAACTTCAAATTGTAATCAAAATATATACAGTCTAGACATTTCAGCCACAAGTATATTTGGATTTCTAGACATGATCAAAGACTTGAGGTAACAGTCAACAACGTCATTCTGAGCCCTGTCACTTTTAATCAAATCATGCATGTTGCCTTTTGAGACAGGATCCCTCTATTATGTAGTTCTGACTGTCCTGGAAGTTACTATGTAGACCAGGATGACCTCAAATCCACAGAGGTCTGCTTGTTTCTGCCTCCAAAGTGCTTACACTAAAGCTCTGTTACATCATACCCTGTCACACCATGTTCTGAAATATAAATTTCCTTTATAAAGAATAACATATATGTGATAAGAAACAAAATCCCTTTCCATCCCTTGTCACAAAACAAAACAAAACAAAACAAAACAAAACAAAACAAAAAAACCAAAAAACACAGAACTGGGCACAGGCACCCAGTTGCTTTTCAGCTACAACGTTTATTTCTTTTCCAGTTCTAGAGATTGAATTAAGAGTCTCCTTACCAATGAATTGCACCTCAGTCCTTTTTTTTTCTTTAAGAGGTTCTAGGGACTGAACTCTGGAGCCTTGAGAATACAAGGGAACTCAACTACTAAGCTGTATCTCCAACTCCTCAGATGATTCTTTTACTTCTTTTGGAGATAGGGTACTGTGTAGCCAAGGCTGACAGTTTGTCAAAATCTTTCCAGCTCTCCATCTATGGTGGTTAAAGTTCACTCTTCTATGTTCAGTCATCATACCTAAGGTACTTTCAACCATCTCCACAGGATAGTATAAGGCCTCTCTGTTGCTCTATTTTTGTCTGGTCTTTTTGAAACTCTGAGAAAGGGTATTAAAAGACATCTTTAGTAACTCATCCTCTGATTTAAGGAGTCACCTTCAGAGAGCTTAATAATTGCTAACTCAGTGAGGAATTAAGACAATGCTAAGCTGTGAGCTGATCCTCCAGAAGGTGAAAGAAGACACGCCTTCTAATCTCAGGTCATGTAACTTAGAGGAACCAACACAGTTCATTGTGCTGTCTGAAGCTTTTCCTGATCTGTTCTCCAACAGAGACAGAAACTGAGAACTAGCCAAATAGCTGTCTAGAACAAAAAGAAGCATTAACAGCCCAAATTCACATAGTCTTCATTTTATTCAGAGGACCCAGCCAAAGAGACTACTTCATCAGGCTTTGGAGAGAGGAGATTAAAAACCCCACAGAAAAGCATTACTGGAATATCATTACAAGTTAAATTTTAGGGTTAGAGAGAAGGCTCAGGTAAAAGTGCCTATCAAGCAAGCCCTTCCATTAAATTGGATCCCCAGAGCCAGGTGTGGTGGCTCACGCAACACTTTAATCCCAGACTCAGGAGGCAGAGGCATTAGGATCTCTGAGTTTGAGGCCAGCCCTATCTAATATCTACATAGTTCCTGAACAGCCTTGGCTGCACAGAGAAACCCTGTCCCGAAAAAAACACCCCCTCAAAAACAAACAAACAAAGAAATATAAAATAACTGGTCCCAGGAATCCACATAGAAGTAGAAGAAAAGAACTGATTCCTAGGTTGTACTCTCTGACCGCCACATGCCTAACCCCCTGCCCTTTACCCTAGTCCCCCAACCCCCAAACACACAAAAATCAAAAGTTGAATTTTAGTATAAATGAACATTCTGATAATCATAATACAAACATATACATATGGATGTGTGTCCCTATTTAGACGTTGAAGGAGGCAGACTGGTTGCACTGTTCTAGCACTCTCAGCCTTATTCCTTTGAAGCAGTCTCACACTGAACCTGGAACTCATCATTTTTCGGCTAGGGCCAGTGATCTCAATAATTCTTCTATCTCTACCCTACTGAAGCCCTGGAGTTACAAGTATCTGGCCATGATCAGTTTTTACTTGTGTCCTAGAGATCTAAACTTAGGTCTTCAAGCTTGTGCTACACAGTTGGTCTAAAACTCACTATGTAGACCAGGTTGCCCTTGACCTTGACAATTGTGACCACACCAAGCTCAGTAACAACCCTTTACTATTAGTGCAAAAAAATATGAAAATGATGTAAGGGAGTGGGGAGGGGGTAGATTTACATACCCAGAACAACTCCATAAATAGCTATTTTGGATTTTAAGATGAAACCACTGACTAACCAAAAAGATATTCATCTAAAACAATCCCTAAATATTGCGTTGGAAGGTTTTATTTGCTTTTTAAGACAGGTTTTCATGCAGTCCAAGCTGTCCCAGAACTTGCTATATTGCTTTAATTCCAAGTGCTGTGGTTAAAGAAATGTACCACCACTGATTGTCCATTTTCTAAATTTACTTAGTTTTTTGGATGATCATTATTTTTAATTGACAGTAACTATGGACTATAAGTTGCTTAATGTTTACATTACAGAAAGATTAAACTAAGTGAATTAACATAGTCATTACCTCACATTTTTAGCATCTTTTTGTGGTGGCAACATATAGGATCTATTCTTGGACTAGAGGTGTACCTTATTAGTACACCAATTGCTTGCAGTCATGAGACCCTAGGTTCAATTCTCGGCACTGAAAAAACAATCATAAATCTACAAACCTACCCTTAATAATTCTGACAGCAACAACAGTATACTTTCACGATCTATCTAGCTGAATCTGCAGCAAGAACACAATGCCCCACCCCCTTTTTCTTTTTTGATGGGACTGTTTCCATTATTAAACAGCCTCAGAAAGTGCTCATTTTGCACTAGCAATTGTATGGGATCCTGCAGAGAACTAAAGATAGGATCTTTTGTTCTCTAGCTATTTACACCCTGCAGCAGATAATTTTACAAAGAGAAAGCCAAGCAGAAATTCCAATCTGAAAACAGAAAATGAAAAAAATTAACTCAAAAGAAAAGAATGCTGAGACTCCATTGGGCTGGAAGGTAACACAAACCATGTTGCATTTTGTTTCACTATGAGTGGAAAAGTCAGAGAGACTTTGAAGTCCAATAAAGGATAGTCATCAAAGTATAAAAGAAAGGAACCCCAATGATATACAAGTAGATGGCAGGGCCATGTGGAAGGATGATAAGGATAGCCATTTGTTTATTTTCCATAAGGCTTCCCATTGAAGAGACCATTGAAGCCCACATTTAGCTTTGGGGACCACAGTCTGCTGTTGTAAACTTAGCACCTTTTATCCTCCATTTGGTCAACTCTTACATTACAACACAGCCAACAGAATAGCCAAGACAACAGAGACATAACAGCTAAAAGGTAAAGGGTGAGAAAAACAGATGCTGCTATGAAAGGGACAGTAATCCAGTCAGCTAGTTAAATGGAAATCTGAATAAGATCTGTGAACACTAGACCTGGATACGAGGCAACTGGTACCACAAACTTTCTACCCCACTCCATCCTACCTGGTTCTGAGACAGGTCTCACTGTATAGCCTTGGCTAGCCTGAAACTCACTATGTAAATCAAGCTGGCCTTTTAAACTCACAAAAATTTGTCTGCTTCTGTCTCCTGAGTGCAGAGATTAAAAGTACGCTACCACACCCACACCAATTCAACTTTCTAACCATTACCTTTTAGAAACCCTACCAGCCAGCCAACATTTCAAGTACTGCTTTTGGAAGGCCCCATTTGTACCTTGAGTCTGTGCCCCAGTGCATGGCATAAATCTTTGCCAGATGCCCCCTCAGTGTTCTCCTGGTTCGCATTTGGATTCTTCCCACTGGATCAATGTTGTTTGTGATCTTAAAAAATAAAATTAGTACAAATTAATTTCAGTAAATACACTCTTGATTGGCATTCTGTAGGTTGTGTAATGTCAATTAAGAATAAAAATATATTAAATGAAAAATCCTGTATTTATGTGAGAGAATATTTTTAGCATTTAGAAGGCCTAGGAGGTCAGAAGACTTATAGACAGTTGTGAGTCACTACAGAATGCTGGAAACAGAATCCACCAGGTCCTCTAGAAGAACAGCAAGTTCTCTACACTGCTGAGCCATCTCTGTAGCAGCCAATTCATAAGCTTTAAACTGCACATTGCTCTCTTAAGTAGCACAATTAAACTATCCATTTTCCGTAGTGCCTGGGGCCTGACCCCCTTGTCCAGTGAGTATACAGCATGTTCATCATCAATACACCACAGCCACCACGCTTTTTGCATGCCTCAGACCTCACCTCTTCTTATCAAGAATACAGGCTCTGTCATCCCCTGTCACACCAGTACATGCAGTAAGACATATTAAGATCATCTGATATCACATGTAACTACCATTTTACTAAGTGCTTTATTAAATTATTAGTTATCTCCACCTTTACCTACCATGCACACTGTAACGCCGCCATGGATACCCAGGGAAAATAAATCTACAAGGTCTGAGGATCAGGCCACTGATTAACCAAGAAGGTAGGTAGATAGGAGTGTGTGTGTGTTGCTAGTTTTTATTGTCAACTTGACAGACACACAGTTACCCCAGAAGAGGGAACTTCAATTAAAGAACTGCCTAGACCAGATTCCTTTGTGGGAATCCGTATGGAGCACTGTCTGGAATGCTAACAGATGTAGGAGGGTCCAGCCCATTGTGAACAAGACAACTTCTAAGCAGATTTGATTATCTTTGGCAGTTTGAAAAAGCACGCCAGTGAGCAATTTTCCTCTGTGGTTCCTGCCCTGACCTCCCTCAATGATATATTATTACCTAGAAGTGTAAACCAAAATAAATGCTTTCTTCTCCAAAGCGTTTAAAATGTTTTATTGTAGCAATAGACTACACAATGATAGGAGCTGGATCTCCACACAGTCTTAACTGCACTTTGTTTACTTGAGTAGGAGAGTGGCACATGTGCAGAGATCAGAGAACAACCTGTGACTCTCCTTCTACCATGTGAGCTCTGGGGATTGAACCGAGGTTGTCCAGCTTGGTAGCAGGCATCTTTGCCTGTTCAGTCACCTCGTCAACCCTGTACATGTTAAAATCAGTTTGATTAAACTGTTGGGTTGGGCTGGAGAGATGGCTCAGCGGTTAAGAGCGCTGTCTGCTCTTCTAGAGGTCCTGAGTTCAATTCCCAGCAACCACATGGTGGCTCACAACCATCTGTAATGGAATCTAATGCCCTCTTCTGGTGTGTCTGAAAACAGCTACAGTGTACTCATATATACAATAAATAAATCTTTAAAAAAAAAAAAAAGATATGTTAAACTGTTGGGTCAAACGGTAGAGATCTCAGTTCCATTTTAAGAACCAATGGGGCCTGTCCTCTCTACCTATCATGAGAACAACAAACATCCAAATAAAAAGGCCATAACAGTGGTTTTACAACCTCACCCCACAGGACAAAAGTGCTCCTTCCACATGTTAAAAGCCCACACCAGACTGTGCATGATGGACAAGTGACAGGTGGAATTGTTTCTTACCTGAGAAAGAGTCGCATCTGCACATGCTTTACGAGCATCCTATGAAATAACAAATGGGAATTAGTTGTATTCCATACTTTCAACTTTAGGACCTTCCCTACCAAAGTTTCAGGACACCTCAACAAACTGCCTCCTTCCTTACCTCTTCTCTAATACTCCCAAGTCCACTGCCACTTTTGAGTTGTTTGGGCTAAAACAAACACAACTCACAATCCCTAAACCTAACTGAGACATGCAGATACCACAGAACTCTGGGCAGACCCAGGAGAAATCATACTGGAAACTGGTCCAGCAGTGAGCAGCCTGGGAGGGAGCCAAGGCTAACTTCCCACATCCAACACACACCTGCTCTGCCTTTCCCACAGCAGTTTACATCAGAGCACAAGGGGCTGCAAGAAAGAAACAGGCTGAAAACCAACTAGCTATTCAGGCCAAAAGCTTCTCTTTGAGAATGTATTATGCAAGGACTTTATTTTTAAGTCAAACAATGATTAAATCTAAGTTCTATGAATAGAACAAGGGATCTAAAATTGTTAATAAAATTTCAATGAGACTGATAACAAACAGCAATCTTTTCTATTTATAAAACATACCAATGTAGCTAAGACCCACAAAAGGATATATCATGGCAATTTTTCTTTAATTTTTACCATATTAAAGTTTTCACGCTGGGTGGTGGTGGCGCACGCCTTTAATCCCAGCACTTGGGAGGCAGAGGCAGGTGGATTTCTGAGTTTGAGAACTCCAGGCTAGCCTGGTCTACAGAGTGAGTTCCAGGACAGCCAGGGCTACACAGAGAAACCCTGTCTCAAAAAAAAAAAAAAAAAAAAAAAAAAAAAAAAGTTTTCACTTACACGTTAAAATAAATATTGACATCTCAAAATTGAACATATTGTTAAATACAAAGACATCCATTAGGAAGGAAAATGAGACAACTCCACTTTTAGAAGTTCAATTTTATTTTTTTTTTTCTTTTGGATTTTCAAGACATGGTTTCTCTGTGTAGTCCTGGCTGTCCTGGAACTCACTCTGTAGACCAGGCTGCCTCCAACTCAGAAATCTGCCTCCCTCTGCCTCCCAAGCGCTGGGATTAAAGGTGTGCACCACCGGGGCTGGAGAGATGGCTCAGTGGTTAAGAGCATTGACTGCACTTCCAGGGGTCCTGAGTTCAAATCCCAGCAACCACATGGTGGCTCACAACCATCTGTAATGAGATCTGATGCCCTCTTCTGGTGTGTCTGAAGACAGCTACAATGTATTCATATATAATAAATAAATAAATATTTAAAAAAAAAAAAAAGGTGTGCACCACCACTGCCCAGCTTCTTCTTCTTCTTTTTTTTTTTTCCCGGTCAAATTTTCAATACCTGCAGAATTCAAAGAACTCCTGACAATCTTGACTAAGAAACTGATCAACTGCTTCCAAAGCAGCAGATGGCAATAGACCAGACTCTTCAAATGAGGTAGAACATTCCCAGATCTATGCTCCATGACAAACTGCCTCACAGAGCAGGATTTTTACTTTAAGTTTGTGTGGATATCACAAGCTGATGGCAGTGGAAAATACACTGAGATGACCACTACTATAGGAACAGAACAAACTTCTAGGTTCCACATTTATCATTAATGAATCTGCTTGTAATCAAAACATAAGAAATCGTGTAACTAACAATTTCTACATAAAATTTTTAAGTAAAGTGTACAGCAAGGATTTAGAATAGGAAACCATTGTCAAGGCCCTTGTTCATGGCAGTAAGTCTAATATTTTCAAACAATATGCTTGTTAATATAATGTATATTTTGGTTTGAAAGAACAAAGCTTTTAATAATAAAAAATAGTACTTAAGCAGCTTCATCTTGGTTGGTACCCAAAGACCAAAATGGTTGAATGTTTCTGACACTGCAACTACTTCTAACAGAAAAAAACTAAACAGTCATATTCCAGCCATCTTTGTTTTTTGGTCACCAAGTAGTTGAAAAGACCCATGCAGCTCTGAAATTGCTTAAGTGAACACAGATTACATGTGTAATTTACAGAGGACAACTTGTGGGAGTCAATTCTCTCCTTCTACCATTTGGATCTTATGACTGAAACTCAAGCCACTGGGATTGGTAGCAAGTACTTTTTAGTTGATGACCCACCTTGCTGGCCTGAGAATGACTGATTTATGATTGAGAGGGTCCCTTATCCCTGGCTGGCCTAGAACTTACTATGTTGACTAGGCTGACCTCAAACTTATACATATTCACCTGCCTCTGGCTCCCCAGTAACAGGATTAAAGAAGTATCCCACCATGCCTAGCCACAATAATTTTTCTTTCTTTCTTTCTTTTTTTCTTTTTTTGTTTTTTCAAGACAGGGTTTCTCCATGTAGCCCAGGCTGGCCCCAAACTCAAGAGAGATCTGTTTGCCTCTACCTCCAGAGTGCTGGGATTAAAAGCCCCCACCTGGCTTTACAGTGATTTCTTAATGGATTCATGTAGATTCATCCACTCAATCAGTCACTTGTCTTCCCTGTTTGGGCTTGAGTACAAAAGTATCACCACAGAAGAGGCTGACCCATCTTATGTAAGCACTGTCATCTCACACTGAAATTGTAAAGTCTAGGCCCAGCTCAGCTCTGGGTCACTACATTTTGGACCATGTGTACAATGTAACTGGTCTATCAAAGCAAGTTAAGTTCCTCTGTATTTAAGGTATATGTTTGAAAGTCTGTTTTCTTAGGATCAACAAAAGAATGACACCTTTTTTTTTGGGGGTGGGGGGGTGGGGGGTGGGGGTTTCGAGACAGGGTTTCTCTGTTCAGCCCTGGCTGTCCTGGAACTCACTCTGTAGACCATGCTGGCCTCCAACTCAGAAATCCGCCTGCCTCTGCCTCCCAAGTGCTGGAATTAAAGGCGTGCGCCACCACGGCCCGGCAAGAATGACAGCTTTTTTTGTTTTCCTTTTTTTTTTTCCTTGAGGGGCAGCTCATATTTAAAAAAAAAAAAAAAAAAAAAAAATCAAAGACCAGACAACACTTCTTACAGTTAACTGCCATTTCTTGTGTAATTCACTATGTAGACAAACTGGTCTTAAATTTACTATGTAGCTAAAGATGATCTTGAACCCCTGATCCTCCTGCTTCCCCTCCCAAGTTTGAAAACCTATATGTGTATAAACACACCTAGCTAGAAGCCTTTTGATTTTTAATAATCAAAAATATTAAGAGTGTATACGTGGTGGTGGCAGCACTTTTTATTCCAGTACTAAAGAGGTAGAGGCAGGTGGATCTCTGAGTTTGAAGTCAGTCTGGTCTATAGAGCAAGTTCCAAGACAGCCAGGGATACACAGAGAAACCCTGTGTTAGTGGTAGTAGGAGGACAGGGGAACACCACGCACGCACGCACAGGCGCACAAACGCTTTGTTGTTAAAATCCAAACAAACTAACAAACAAACAAACAAACAAACAAACAAAAAAAGCCCAAGAGTGTGACTGATGTTTATTAGTATAGATGCTACAGAGTATGGAGGTCATGGGACAACTTTGTAGAGACAGTACTCTCCTTCCACTTTAACATGGACTCCAGGGATGGAACTCAGGTTTTCAGGCTTACACATGTTGGATGGCAAGAACCTTTACTTGATAAATTACTTTATCTGCTCTGTTTTTGATTCCTCGGTTTGTTTTGAGATCAGGTCTCTATCTAATCCTGGCTGTCTTGGAACTTGTTATGTAGACCAGGCTAGCCTAGAACTCAGAGATCCACTTAACTCAACCTCCTGACTGCTAAGATTCAAAGTATGTGCTACCACACCCAACCTCCTGCTTTTGATTTTAAGATAAGTTCATGTTTTGTAGTCCAGGCTAGCCTTCAAACTGAAGAGACAATCCTCCTACTTTCCCAGTACCTTCATAAGATGCCAAGCTCTAAGACACTAGCATGCTGGGGACCACATTGCTAGGAAAGCACTAGACACTAGATATGCTGTACTTCCAGCTCTTATATTAAATTCTTTAGCAAATATATGTTCAATATACAAATGGTAAAGAACATTTTACTTTTTTCCTTCCTTATATCATACCCTTAAAAAAAAGTTTTTTGTTTTTGTTTTTGTTTTGTTAAATTTATGTGTATGCAGGTACCGATGGAAACCAAAAGACAGTACTGGATTCTCTGGAGCTAGAGTTATAGGCAGTGCTGGGATTAAACTTAACCACTTATATATCTCTCTAACTCCAGAATTTTATTTTAAAGAGTATTCCTTGCCAGATAAGGAAGCACACAGCTTTACTCTTCAAAGTAAACATGGGAGGCAGAGGTAGGAAGTTTGAGGCCAGCAGTCTACATACCAAGTTGCAGGGCAGCCAAGGCCTCATAGTGAGACCATGTCTTAAAAACAAACAAAAGGCTCCCTTCCCATTTAGAGACTCAATGGTCTTCACGTCTCCTCACCAACCCACTCTAAAATGAGTGCAGTGCTGAGAGGCAAGGCCCAAATCCAATGCAGCCATCTGTGAAGATGATGCTCATCATGAGGGCTGAAACAGAGCAGCTCTACAAGGAATGGTCAGAATGGTGCTGTCCACAGTGGAGGTCTTGGGCCATGAACTACTCTGTGCAACCAAAACAAAACTGAAATTTAAGTACTGCAAACTATCTCAGTAAGAATCTATTGACTAAAATATTTTAGCTGTGACTAGACGAAACTTCGTAAGATTTCATATTACCAACATATATTAACATAACCTCATGTTGCCCACTTGGCCTCAAACTTGATATGTCACTGAGGCTGGCCTTGAACTCTGATCCTCCTGTTTCTACCTCTTGAATGCTATAATTACAGGGGCACTATGTGGATGCTGAGGATGACTATGAACTCTTATCACTCTGCTCCTTCCTCCCAAGTGCTGGGATTAAAAGGGTTTGCCATCATGCTCAGCTCCTGTCTTTAAATTTTTAAATCACGCAAACATTTAGGGAAAGCCAGGCATGCTATGCAATCCCAGCTATAAGGGAGACTGACACAGAGGGATCGCTTGAACCCACAATTTTGACAACAGCCTCCTAAGAACCATAGTAAAAGCCTAACCCTATGCCATACTCCCACAAACCTAAAGATTTTAGGCAAGGGCTAGGTATAGTTAAGTGCTACTACGTACTTGCCTGCCACATGAAATAAATAAATTTAGGAAAGTATCTTGTGATATTACTTAAATGTGTTTTCCAAGAAATAACTTTTATACCACATCAAGTATTTTAGAAGGTGTTTTATTAACTCTATGGAAGCAGACAATCTGAAGAACAGTGTAGACCCCTGATGTCGTGACGTGTTACAGCAGAGGACATTTTCTGTTTTATCTCTGTTCTAAATCTTTCGAAATCTTAGGCAATTCTGGTCTGTCTTTCTTTCTTTCTTTCTTTCTTTCTTTCTTTCTTTCTTTCTTTCTTTCTTTCTTTCTTTCGTTTTTTTCGAGACAGGGTTTCTCTGTGTATCCCTGGCTGTCCTGGAAATCACTCTGTAGACCAGGCTAGCCTCGAACTCAGAAATCCGCCTGTCTCTGCCTCCCAAGTGCTGGGATTAAAGGCGTGCGCCACCAACACCCGGCTGGTATATTTTCTTAAATTCAAGTAAAAGTTGGCTAAGACGATGCTGGCAATTCTCTACCTAGTCTTACTGGCAGCCTGAACACAGCTGACATGTGAGACTTACATGTCACAGCTTAGTGAGACTCTGAAGGACGGGCAGCTATATCCTTACAGACAAGAAGATGAAAATCATAGGAAGCTATTTCAAGTATACAAAGCCTTAAACAAACTGATAACTGGAATTTTCTTGGTAAATCTTAAGTCTTTTTTCCATGCTCTTAGATCAAATCTAAGAAAAAACAAAAAACAAAACCCTTGAATTAATTGTCTCTGTATAATGTTGCATTCAAGGTCAGCCTGGTCTATACTGTGAATTCCAGGACAAAGTTACATAGTGAGACCCTATCTCAAATAACAAAAATAAAATACAAACCCCAAACCAAAAATCCCATATTTGCCTGGGATGTGTGAGGGCTCTCCGCTCCATTTCTAGCACAAAAGGAAAGAATCAGGACACAGTGGAATGTATCTTCCATTTAGTTTTGTATTCAGATAGAATACAAAACTCTCTCTGGTGGCCCAAGAGCTGTTATGTGCATTCCAATGGTCATCCTGGAGCACAAACAATTGCAAAATTAACCTAACCCTGAGAAACATCTAAAATGCCACTTTACTGATCCTTTCATTTAAAATATCTTTTTCTGTTCTCAACTTAATAGCCTTGATAGTGCCAGGCAGTGGTGGCACAGGCCTTTAATCAATCCCAGCACTCAGGAGGCAGAGGCAGGCTGATTTCTGAGTTTGAGGCCAACCTGGTCTACAGAGTGAGTTCCAGGATAGCCATGGCTACACAGAGAAACCCTGTCTCGGAAAAAAAAAAAAAAAAAGCCTTGATAGTGACCTACAGTAGCCACAAAGAGGGTCCAAAACCTTGTTCCCTAGGGGAAGAAGTTTAAAAGTTTTCATAAATTTTACAGAAACATGCCATATGCATTCAAGCAACAAATTATAGTTAGTAAGAAAACAAAATTTCTGAAACAACATAAAAGACCAGTTATCTCGACATATAACTAGCACATACTAGACCAATTTCATCTCACTCTGTTACCCATACAACAGGTATGTTTCTAATGCGAAACATATCAAACACACATAGCTACGTACTCTAATTTGGTTCTTCAGTTGCTCGGCCTCCTGCCGCAGCTGGTCAAGTTCACTCATCTTCTCGTTTCAGTGCTTTCCACACTTCAGAATCCAAGCTCTGCAACAGAAACATGGGATGAAATGCATAAGCTATGGTATGACTGGTTAACTGAAAACTTCACAGCTATAGTCTCATAAAGCAGAGAACTTTCCTGCAGCATTCATCAGAACTTTTGAAACCCTATCTAGAACTGGATTAAAAACACAATCTTCATTTTTATTGACTATACTAACATACTGCTGAAAATATTGTGGTGGTGCATTCCACTACTTAGGTGCCCGAAGAAGGAAAATTTTAATTTCAATGCCAATCTGTACCACAGAGACCCAATCTCAGACAAACAAACATCACAGATCTTTCTCATGAAAAGATTCTGAGTCTCTCAGAAATCAAGAACAATAATAACAACAATAACAACAACAACAAATGTAGATATCAGAACAGCTACCACACAGAGAAACCAGGAGTGATTTCTTTAGGAAACAGGACTGAGGCCAGGCGGTGGTGGCGCATGCCTTTAATCCCAGCACTTGGGAGGCAGAGGCAGGTGGATTTCTGAGTTCGAGGCCAACCTGGTCTACACAGTGAGTTCCAGGACAGCCAGGGCTACACAGAGAAACCCTGTCTCAAAAAAACAAAACAAAAAAAAAGGAAACAGGACTGAGGCAATCTGGAAAACTAGTACTTTGAAGCTATGGCAGTTATGAGCTGTAAAGGACAAAGGGATATCTAAAAGTCTATTTCCCCCCCAAACCTTAGGCTGAGGAGTCCCAGGAAGCTCAGAAATACCTTCTATATATGGGCTGAATAAGGCTGGTCAAAGTGCTGCATACCCATACCCAGTCATATAAAACAACATCCCCAATAGTCAGACATAACTGATATCACCCTGTTATAAAGATGACTTTTCAATGGTGTATGCGTAAGTTCAGTTGGTAGAGTGCTTGCCTTACATCACAAAGCTCTGGATTTGAGTCCAGCCCTAAGACAAATGGGGTGTGATGGTGTGTATATCTACAATCCCAGCACTTGGGAAACAACTAAAAGGATCAGAGTCATCTTTTAAGGTCATCCTTGGCTACATAACTTGAGGCCAGCCTGGGATATGACTGTCTCAAAACTAGATAGTCAAAACAAACAAACTCGACTTCCTGGGTTGGACATAATAGTTCAGTTAGTAGACTGCTTACCTACAATGTATGAATTACCTCATGTGGTGATGCTAACCTATAATTCCACTCAGGAGGTGGAAGCAAGAAGTTCAATGTCATCTTCATCTGCATAGTAGTTTGAGGCTAGTCTATGCTCCGTGTGACACTGCCTCAAAAAATAAAATACCTCAGAATATGGAGCATGCCTTTAATCTGACCCAGCAGTTGGGAGGCAGAAAAGGGAGGATCTGAATTCAAGGCCAGTCTGATCTATATACCCAGTTCCAGTACAGCCAAGACTATATAGAGACCCTGTCTCAAAAATCTAATCCAAAATAAAACAACAACAGAAAAAAAGACTTCATTCCCCAGAGGAAGTTATACATAGAGACGCCTGTGTGCCTATCTGGAACTTACTTCTGTAACTTATGCTGGCCTTGAACTAATAAGCAAATCTCCTGCCTCAGACTCTCATGTGGTAACAGCAGGCCTCATCTACCACAGTACCTGGGGCATAAGGCTACACTTCTGACAAAGATGCTGCTTATTAAATCAATCATAAATGGGATTAAAACATCATAAAACTGAAGATGAAATTACTTACTACCAATGTAATTTATGCAAGAATCTTAATTTCTCATGCAAATTACACAGAATATGAGTGTTCTGGCTACATGGTATATATGTATACACTGTGAATCCTAGTGCCCTAGGGTCAGAAGAATGTATTGGATTCCCTGGAACCTGAGTCATATGGTTTGTTAGCTGCCACGTAGGCACTGGGAATGAAACTAGGGTCCTCTGGAAGAGCACCAAGCCCATTTAACTACTGAATTATCTCTCCAGCACCCCCCATCAATAAAATTTTTGTGTAATAATTAAAGAGGTGCAAAATGGTGGGGAATGGGGCAGATAACGTGGATTCTTGGGTTTAATGGTCAGTTGATTTAGTTGAAATGAAAACCTTTAGGTAAGTGGCTCTTAACCTTCCTAATGCTGCTACCCTTTAATAGTTCCTCACATTGTAGTGACTCCAAACTATAAAATTATTTGTGTTGCTAGTTCATGACTATAAGTTTGCCTCTGTATGAACCATAATAAAAATATCTGTTTTCCAATGGTCTTAAGCCACCCCCATGAGTCATTTGACTCTCCAAAAGGGTCATGACCCACAGGTTGAGAACCACTTCTCTAGGTTGAGTATGACTCTGAGTTGATAACTGAGGTCAACTAATAAAATAACATGATCAGCCTTCATACATACATAGATGAATATACCTGCATAACATGTACATACATACACACACATATACATATAACATACAAACATACATGAGTATACCTCCATAAACACACAAACACACACACACACTCACTTTATAATAAAAAAGAAATGACTTAGGTATGATAGCATCAGAATTTGGGAGATGCAGAGGCAGAAAGACTCCTTTTGAGTCTAAGACCTCTCTGGCAATATAGTGGGCTCCAGGCCTCCTAGAATTGGGTACCAAGATCCTGTCTCAACTCTTTGTCAAAAGTCAAAGTTAAAAATATCAAATGCTTAACTAACCAATATTATTTTCTTTTCTTTGTTTTTCTTCCCAAGAGAGGCTTATTCTGTGTAGCCCTAGCTGTTCTGGAACTCACTTTGTAGACTAGGCTGGCTTCAAACTGCGATCTGCTTTCCTCTGCCTCCTGAGTCCTGAGATCACTGTTATTTTCATTAAGAGTAAAACACATCTATAGTAAATCATGTAAATGACCCCCGCCCAACTGTTAAAGTTCCTTATACTTTTCTATTCAGCAGTTCCACACTATAGGCTCCTGTTAACAAAATCCCTTCCAACTAAGTGCCTTTGTTGCTGGCAGGACAGAAAGAAGTGTGAATTCACTAAGTACTTAACATGAAAAGAAAAAAGAACATGGGCAATCAAGAAAGGCCTACAAGGTAAAGCTGTGCACTGAAGGAAAGGCTACCACGTTCCTAGACCAGGACCTGCTGTTGATGCTTGCTTGAAAAGCAGGGTATGCAGCAACATGGCTTCTAAAAGATTGCTGATCACAATGGTATTTTCATTTTCTGTTGGTGCTCCTTCCTTACCCTGCTTGTCTTTTTTTTTTTTAAATAAAGATTTATTTATGTTATGTATGTTGAGTGTCCATATGTATGTAGAGCTGCATGCCAGAAGAGGGCATCAGATCCTACCCAGTATAGAAGGCTGTGAGCCACTATGTGGTTGCTGGGAACTGAACTCAGGGCCTCTAGAAGAGTGCTGAGCCATCTCTCCAGTCCTGTTGCTACCTTTCTTAAGACAGTATCTTCTTCCTAAGCAGTTGAGTATGTACTAAAACTTCCCCTGGCACTCACTCTGACCTTACTCCATTTCCCCAGTGCTAGTACTACAGGTATGTCCCACAATATCTGGTTTCTTGAGTAGATGCTTGATTCATTAGGCAAGCTTCACCAAGAGAGATACCTTGGGCCTCCCAACATCTCTGGCACTAAAGAACATAATTTACTTTTTCAGGAGAAGACTGAATCATTCTGTCTTTAGTATATAAAACCTAAGGACTAAAGTTTAGGAATATTCATTCCTATATGGCAGAATAAAAACCCAAATGAATAAAAACACAGATGGAAAGATGTGCTGCCATTTTTGTCTTACATGGGCTTGGCTTGCTTTATCTTACAAAGAGTCCAAGTAGAAATCCTCTTACTAGTTTTACAGAGTCAGGGTCACCACCCTTCAGCACTCCTTATCTTACTGAAAGTAACTCTGGCTATAGAGATCTTCCACCCAAATCAGCATTAATGTAAGAAAAAGTAGCCACCAAAGTCATGAGGTGCCCTGAATTAGTCTAGTCAACAAGTAGCAGTTGACCAGGATATAAATACTTAAGCTTTTACATCATGAGACTGAAAACAACACAGTGTTGAACCAGTGTTTATAAACAGGGGGTCTTTCTGAGCTCCTTCAAAAATTCCTCAGGAATGCATGGCAGCCACCAACCTTACCCAAAGTCATCTAGATAACCCATCAGCTCTATTCCTCACTAGGTTTCTGGTAAATTCATTTCTCTACTTTAAGCAATATAGCTAGATAACTGTCACATATTTTTCTGGTAGTATATGAAGAAAACATCCAACCAAAAGAAAGACTTGGGCTCAGTGGGTTAACTCCCTTGCTGTTGCAAGCCTGAAGACCTTAGTTCAAACCCTAGAAACCTAACCAAGTAAAGGTGGGAGGAGAAAACTGATCCTAAGTCATCTTCAGCCTCCCACACAGCATGATTTTTTTAAACAATATTTTGTTTGTTTTTGTTTTTTCCAGACAGGATTTCTCTGTGTAGCCCTGGTTATCCTGAAACTTGCTCTACAGACTAGGCTGGCCTCATGTGCTACCATTGCCCAGCAGAAAACGATCTTTATAGTCATTTTTTTCTAACATTTTATCTATTTAATTGTGTATGGGTATGTACCACAACACATATACCAAGGTCAGGATAACCTGAAATATTACCTTCTCACAGTCTGAGTGAAGTGCAGCACACAACTGAAAAAGAGTCTACCGTAATGCTGTTAACACAGCTTTAGTAATTAAAAACAAATGTATGTTTAACAAGTCTTACTTACGTTTAGTCAACTTTGCCTTTCTCTTTAGTGTCGTTAGTTCTTTGGCCCTTCTGGAAACCCCACCATCAGGTCTGCCTGCCCGGGCAGCTCTTCTCCTCCAGAGCATGTCCCAGGTAAGCTCTGGCTGTGCTGAAGCAGCACTTTCCAGCCTAATCCACTAAGACAGTACCTGCTGAGGCCTCATGTCTGCCCGTGACCCACATATGCCTTCAGCTTTAAATTAGAACTGCTATTTAGTAAATTTAAATAATTTAAGAGCATAGGGCTAAAGA